CTCTCTCTGTGTGTGTTTGCAGGGAGTGATCGGGTCAGGGAACAGGAGGGATAACAGGGCAAGATAAACTTCCCAGCATTTACCTCTGTCATTAGCACATCATGTTGGCAAATGTACAGCATCAAATTCTCAAATGGATCATCCCTATGGCAAATCACACACTTATTTCAAGTATAGTGTCTGGCAACACCTATTTGGAGCCAGTCTTTCAGAAAGTGTCACTTACATATGGCTGACTGTCGCATGGGGCATCACCCTGGCCGACTGACAGCTGCAGATGACCCCTCTCCTCTTCCTCAAGGTGAGTGGATAAGGAAAACACAAACCCTTGAAGTGTGAATGGAGAAAAATAAATACACATGATACTTGTGTAAAACTCACCGTAACAATTATCTTTTCTTACTCTGAAAATTATTGATTTAAATCCTCTTTTTGACACTTTGAGATGGTCATTTAGAGATTAGAGAGAAATCCTTCTAGGTCTGGGGCCAGAGTTGACTTTAGTTCTAAAAATAAAAAATATTGTCCAGGCCTAAGGCTCATTCCAAATTCACGTGCTTCTCTAGTTAATACCCGTATGAAAGTCAAATGTCACCACAGGCCAGAGATGCTTATAGGCAATCATCATAAATGGGTTTATTCTAACAAGATGTATCTTGCATCCACATTTTAAAAAAGGGGACAAAAAGATTGTTGAGAAAAGCATTTAGTGAAAAACACAAAATGCATTACTGCAATCAACTTTGCAATAAACCTTTAACTAGCTTCAATTGACTGTTTGGCTTCAGCAGTGACTCAAGCCATGAAATCAGCTGATGTAAAGCAGTTGAAATATATTCACGGCTGTTTATTTGTTCATAACCAACAAACGTGTTAGCTTTTATTTTTCTTTAAAAGTAGTATGTTGAATATAGGGTTGAGGTTGAAAGTGGGTAAATTAGATGAGCTTAGTGCTTACTAATTATGACACTCAGAAACAAACCTCTTAAAGGTAGGGTAGGTAGTTCACTTCAGAAACACTTTTTGTTATATTCCATGGAATGCTCTTAACATCCCGATAGCAATGAATAAATTAAATGCTTTGACAATAAATATATACAAATATGTCATCTGTGGAAGCCGTGGTACTGTAAAAAGCACGGCCAATTATCTGCCTCGGCCCGGCTAAAATAACTGGATGGCCTACCTGCCTGTCAGCCTTCCATCTCGTACCCTCATTGGTCTTGTGCGCGTCCGTGTGTGTGTTGGAGGAGTGGCTCTGGAAGTCTGAATGAAGGGGCAGATCTTTTTCGGTTGTGTACTTTCAAATTCTAGCGCACTCGAGCTGGTTTCTCCATTCTTAACTACTGTAGAGTATTCGCATTTGGTCTCTTTTGTCCTTCTGCAGACACCGTACCGGATGTAGGGATCTACAGGCGGGGTTTGCGTAGTGTTGTGATAACTGCCATGTGGATGTAATGTTGCTCCGTCACTATTAAGGTTATTAAACCAAGTTCTATGATAAACATGACTCGTTTATGAGAACATCAAACAACTACCCTACTTAACACGTTACAAATTAAAAGTTTAACTCTATTGGCAAACAGTAGTGATATTACGTATTGCGCCGAGGCTTCGGAGCGTGTGTCGAGTAATCCCCGAAGCTTTTTGTGAAGCATGTACCGAGGCTTGTATCGTTTTGGGCCAGTGACGTCATCGATGACAAACGAAGCCTCGCTGCCTGTCGATACCACGTGACTGCTTCACGAAGCGATTCAGATCGGTTGAACCGTTGAACCACAACGCTCATAATACCCATGGATGTATAATAAGAACCATATTCTTTCACACACAGTGACGTCACGAGCTACCCACAATGCAACACGCGCCATATATATATATAAATACGCCATTTTCCTGGAGGTGCAAATATCCTGGAAGTGCAAATATAAACAGCTAGCTAACGTAGCCAGGCAGAGGGCACTAGGTTTTTTTTCTGAATTAACGACCGAAGAAATCGCTGCATGTCTTCGGATTACATCTCTGGACTTGAGGGGTGTGCTCTAGGTCGTTACCAGCGTAAACTAGAGCTGTGTGGGTTGTCGGTATACCCTTACAGACTGCCTGCAGATGTATGGAAAAACGACCCTCGAAAGTGGCCTTCGTCGATTTTGGCTGCATCTACGTCTAATTTCTGGAAACACCAGGTGAATACCCCACTTGTCACAATAATATTATCATGCCAATGCATATATGTGGTATTTTAGAGTTGACTAGATATTGATTAAGGCAATAGACTATGATATTCAGTACAGGAAGCTTAGCAACACCTAGACGGTGTACGGCTGCTTGCACCTCGCGTAAAACGGCGGATACCGGAAGTACGGTGTCGCCCTCTGCCCAATACCCGTATGTGTGTGTGAAAGAATTACCCCTCCTGTACCCGGGCCCGGTGACACGATGGAATCAAGAGAGCTCAGACCCTCACTCAACAATACTTATTTTTTGTTGTTTATAAAAGCTACAGCTAAATGAGATAATATAGTTAATAAATGTATTCTTTGATATGGTTCAGGCTACAACATGGTTAAGTTTACGAATATTATTAAGGAATACAAATCCCTCTTTGCAATGTTTAGCAGCCTTCTTAGGCTTTTCAATCACAATCATTAAACTGGAATAAATACAATATTGTTAACATGAAAATATGATTTAATGTTCGTTGTTTAGAGTTATTCTAAGGCTTTACTCATTGGGAACTCGGTATGAGATAGAGCACACTGTTGAGATGTCCAATCTGCCTGTTTTACACACTTTGACCAACAGGGGGTTTGTGTTCAAATCATAGACTGTATCACTCACAGATTCATAATCATGAAGGTGGAATCTAACTATATCGATAATCATATTTATTGCATCCATGGGTAGAAACATGTTTTTTTCTGCTGTAAAGTTGGGCATTTTAACATGGGGGTCTATGGAAATTGCTCCTTTCTGCAGCCAGTCCCTAGCGGCCCATGTATGAACTGCAGTGTGTGGCACTTCCGTATTGGCTTCCGGGCTGTTCCCCAGAGTTTGCCGCTTGGTTCAAATGAAGCCTCATGAGATGAACCCTGGATGAACCCTTTTGCGAACCAATTGGCTGGAAAGCTTCAAAGCTTCATAAGGCTTCATCTCGCCATCACTAGCAAACAGTGCTTTATCAACACATCCAGCAAATATTTTAGCAACATTAATAATGGGAGTTATCTTTAAGCGTTGTAATATCTGGCAGTTTTCTATTAGCATACATCTGGGACACTGGGGTAAGTCTTCACTCTCTTAAAGATAAGCTAAGCTAACTGTGGATGTTTGACACGTTTACAAAAGGTAGTTTTAAAACACTTACCGGTGGTTCAATTGGAAACGTGCGAGACTCTTATAATCAGATGCGTGTAAAGAAATCCTGTTTCAAGTATTATTGTAAAAAAAAATGTCCAACTTGAGATTCTGTTTACTATCCAGGTAGTTTTTCTTTATACATCCATGAGGTAGCCGACAGGTGGACGCCGCCATCTTTGTTTTGATTTGGGACTTGAGTTGCAACTTTTATATGGCAGCAAGGGAAACAGGTAAATAATCTCAATCACTCAGAGGACGGAATTTATTTTCTTACAGGTGAATAAACGATAATTGTATCCGGATAAGTATGCACTTAGACATATTAACAGTTGTGTTACGTAGCTAGTGATGGGCGAGATGAAGCTTTGAAGCTTTCCAGCCAATTGGTTCGCTAAAGGGTTCATCTCATGAGGCTTCATTTGAGCACAAACCCCCCTGTTGGTCAAAGTGTGTAAAACAGGCAGATATGACATCTCAACAGTGTGCTCTTTCTTATACTGAGTTCCCAATGAGTAAAGCCTTAGAATAACGCTAAACAATTAAGGAAATCATATTTTCATGTAATCAAGTTGTATCAATATTGTATTTATTCCTGTTGAATGAGTGTGATTGAAAAGCCTAAGGAGGCTGGTAAACATTGCAAAGAGGGATTTGTATTCCTCTATAACATTCGTAAACGTAACCATGTTATAGCTTTAGAAAGGTTAAACAACATCAAATAATTATGTGTATTAGCTATTACATTAAGCTGATGCTTTTATAAACAAAAAAAAGACAAATTGACCGGCCGTTGAACCAGGGACCCTGCGGTTGAAAGTCAACATGTCTTCAAGCTGACAACAGAGTACCTTTTTGTTTTACTGGAGGCCAGCCTTAGCTAGACTACACCTCCGGGGACGCAACAAAAAAAATGGTTGATTAATTATTAAATAATTTAAATAAATAAACAAATAATGAATATTATATTTTAAATAAAAATGAGTAACAATAAAAATATCCCAAAACAAATTCAAATAAATAATATTAAATAAAAACATTAAATAAAAAATATCATAGTACAAACATAATAATAAAAAAGAATAATACTATTATGAAATTATAATATTAAGAAAAAAATACAAATCAAAAACCAATACAAGGTGTGGGTGTGCCTGGGTAAAATAATGTTAGTAATCACAAACCTCCGAAGGACGCCCCCCCACCTCCGAAAGATTTAGTAAATACAGATCTAAGCAGCAGACCACAAATTCTGAGTATGGCAGTATGTTTCAAATGTGTAACCATCCATCAACACTGTATTTTTGGTGGGAATGTGTGTTGGAGAAATGAAAATAAAGAATTCAATAATTACACAAAACAAAGAAATAATATATAAAAAAGAACAATGAACAATTACTTTTACTACAAGATCTGAATACTTCTTCCACCTCTAGATCTTAAGACTGATGGTTACCTCAATTACCCAGATTAATCTTAATCAGATACAAAATTAAAGTGAAGTATGCTAAACTAACCGCAGACAATGTGAATAAACACACCCGATCCTCCTATAAATGAAGTACTTTTAAATGTAACTGTCATGTAGTACTTCTCAGCCCATTGCCTAATGTGGCTCTGTATGGAGCTTTCCAAAGAAAGAAAAATTGATGATGCCCTGAAGCAGAACACAGCCTTGTTGGATTGAAGCCCTTTTCTAACTGTTACACAATTAAAAAAATGAAACATGCTTTATTAAATCAAACATCTTACAGCTAAAGACATCTGAAGCTGAATGTTGTTTTCACAGAATAATCAGATCTCAAATGCCACACAGTAGTCCCTTTGTTTGATGCCTGAAACATGCATTGCACACAGATAAAGAACCCAGACAGCGATAAAATCAAATATACCTATCAGAATAATCTGGTTTACTTGGCATAATAGTATCTGATGTATTGCATTATATTCAATAAGAAAAATGATCACCTTTAATACTTGTAACAACACTTTATACAGTTATGTACAGTCAGGAGCACTGAATCAGTAACCCAAAACGTTTGTTGTTGCTGCTACTGTTATTTTGACATTAACTAATAAGAGGCACAACTCTCTTCAACCACCACACATACAGTATGTAGGTCCATTGACACCGTTTCTTGTCTACTTTTTCGTTCTATAGTATGGGACAGTATTTGCCACATCTCATTCGTAGTCTGTCAAGGGAGTCCTGTGCCTGCAATACATTCCCTCCTCCACTAGAGGTCGGTATTGCCATTGTCCCAGCTGAGGACTCCCCCTCAGGATGGACTTTTCTGTCTGGATATTTAAACTCAACTGATGCAAATGAAGAAAGACTACCATTTTTTCTGGTCCATGTTCTGGAAGTGTCAATTGTTGGTGATACCCTGAAGCCTCTCCCTTTGTCACTGCTTGCATCTTTCCCCCTACTTTGTTCACTGAAATCCTCCAAAAAGGGGTCAGAATCGCTTCCGTGTGGCATGTTGTAGTAGGTGCACTTTGGAGTTAGAGGCTTCGCCATCTCCTCGAGCTCTGATGAGGAAATGGCTGCAAGAAGGTCTTGCTGGGACGGGACATCCTCGCAATTGTTTTCGTCGCCTGTGTCGATAGATGTGCTATCTAACTGACCGTACATTCCCAGCGAGACTGGAGGAGATTTTCGGATGAGGTGATTCTCTTTGAGCAGCCATCTACCTTGGTCGATCAAAACCCCTTCAGGTGAGTCCTTCTGCGGCGTGGAAGACATGCACTCTGCGACATTATCGGCGTCGACCTTCTGTGAGCTTCCAGCACTGAAATACGACAGATCCTCCTTTGAGTTTTTACTGCCTGAGATATCAGAGGATGAACTTCCCAGACTTTTTATTTGAGAATTCGGCGAAACTTCTATATTACTGTCAACAGAAAGGTTGGAGTTGGCTCCCTTGACATGTGTTCTCCCCTCAGGGGTGCAACCTGGAGAAGCCTCTTCTCCGCTCTCTGTGACAATATCTACCGAATCCTGAGTTTTATATCCACCACTCTCTGACGATTCTGGCCTGTAATCGGACAAATCTGAGGTGGTCGGGGATGGCAGACGCTTTAAGCCATATGAAGGATCCTTGTTATATATTGGAACAACAGTTTTAGTTTGTGTTACTCTAGCATTATCTGGCTCTATCCGGATTTTCCCCAGAGTGTCGTACGTGAATTTAAGTGAAGAGCACTGCAGGGCATTGTTAACAAAGTCAAGCAATTCCTGTGATATCTCCACTGGGTGTCCCTGAGGCTCCCCTCCCTCGTCGGTTTCAAGTTCATGAACAGTGTCTGTCCCATTACCTTTATCATCCTCACACTGGCCCTCAGAGGAATGTTTGTTTGATGATTCAGTGTTAGGTTCTGTTACCTTTGAATCTACATGTGCTTCATCACAGCTACTCTGCGACAGCAAACACGAGGCCTCCTCTAGTACGTTTTTACAATCTCTGTCCGCAGCAATACTGTCTGCTTCATCAGTAGCATTTTCTTCCTTTGACTCAACCCCCTCATGTACCGCATTACTATCTTTTTCTTCATCATCTTCCCTCTCCTCTTCATCTAGCATTTGCTCTGTTCTTATATGTTCTTCAATCTCCTCCACAACATCTTCCTCTGATTCTTCCTCAAGACTAGTTTCTTTTAACTCGTTCCTGCTCTCCTCACACTCCTCACATGTTTCTTCCTCACCATCCTCCACAGTCTCTTGACATCTATCTTTTTCCCCCTCATCTTCCTCCTCATTGTTTTCCTCACTTACCACTTCGATGTGGTCCTCTTCCTCATCTTTTCCCCTAAACACATCATCATATTCCTCCTCCTCCGCCCCCTCCTGTATAACCCCCTCCTCTACATCTTCCACAGTAACTGAGTCTGTTGCTTCTTCTTCTTCTTCTTCTTCCTCCTCCTCCTCCCCCCTCCTCCTCCTCCTCCTCCTCCCCCTCCCGTATAACCCCGTCCTCTACATCTTCCACAGTAACTGAGTCTGTTGCTTCTTCTTCTTCTTCCTCCTCCTCCTCCTCCTCCTCCCCCTCCTCCTCCTCCTCCCCCTCCCGTATAACCCCCTCCTCTACATCTTCCACAGTAACTGAGTCTGTTGCTTCTTCTTCCTCCTCTTCCACCATCTCTTCAAATCTATGTTCTGCTTCCTCTCCTTTATCTGACTCCTCAATAACCCCATCTGCCTCTTCTTCAATCTCGTCCCCTTGCCTCTCTTCAGTTATCCATTCCTCCCCCCTCTCTTCCTCATCAACCCCCTCCTCCTCTTCCTCTGTCTCCCCTTCACCCTCTCTCTCATCTGTTTCCTCAACAGTATCATCCTCTCTTGTTTCTTGAATTTCTTCTACTTCCTCCTCATCCACTGTCATATGGTTCTCTGTCCCTTCCTCTACTTCCTCAACATCTTCCTCTGAACACCCTTTTCCCACTTCTGATTCTTTCTCCTCTTCATCACCCACTGTCGTCACTGTCCCCACTTCTGCCTCGTCCCTTTCTCCCTTTTTAGTGTCTTCACTGTCATAATCTCTGTTATTTGTGAGCTCCCTCTCCTCCTCTACTTGTCCCTCTTCCTCCTTTTCTTGGTCTGTTAAGTGCTCACCTGTCTGTGATGTTTCTGAGTCTTTATCAGGTTCTTTCTCTGACTTGGTTTTCTCCTTGGCATGTTCAGAACATGCATGATCCTGTTTTCTCTGAGAACTGTCCTCAGCTATGGAGTTAGTATCAGGCTCTGGTGATTCTTTTGTTACATTGTTGCATTCTTGAACAAATTGTTCAACATCCTCCTCAGAGTCTGACTGTTTTCTTTCATTTTCTACAAAAGTGCTCTCCTCTACAGGGTAAAAACATTTAGTTTGGTGGATTGTTGAAGAAATCTCTGCTCTGAGGTCTTGTGGCATATTCAACTCATCCATTAGCTCTTCAATATCTTCGAACGCATCCCCTCCTTCAGAAGAAAGATCCAGCGCAAATTCTGTTTCTGAAGCTTTGACAGATATTGGTTCACTTTCTAGTCTTTCTCTCATAATCTGGAAATCCTTCCAGCGTTCTCTGAAAGTAGAAGATGTTTCTGCTGTGCAGATCCGTCAAACTTGCCCTCTGCCCTCCCTCGTCCTCGGTAGCGGAAATTATTTGCAGTGACTCCAACATCAGCAAGGCCTCCGAGGTGCTCGGTTGGTTGCCATCTCTCGGCGCAGATGTTATTTGGTTGTCTCGTAGAGTCATCACTGATAAGAATGATACAAAGGCTTTACATGACGAGCCAACACTCCAGCCACATGTTTTGAGAAATCAGGAAGACTGCTGGACCTTTCTAGGTTGGATGTTACGTTGGTTTCAGATGCACTTTTGAGGCAGTGAATCGAAGAGTAAAGTTCCCGCAGGAGAGGTTCTATGTGTGCCTTTGTGTCCAAACCCTTGGGTGTTGATGAAGGTGATTCATTGTCAACTGTTCCGAGGATTGCTGCAGATTTGTTTGGTCTCAATCTGTTCTCGTTGGACACAAGATCGACTCTAACACTGGGCATTGAAGCACACAGCCCTCTTAGAGGTTTTTCATTGCACCGCTGAGCTGTAGCTTCATTCAAATAAGGTACTGATAGACAAGAAACTGACTTCTCGATGTCATCACTTGGCGATGTATTGTACTCATCTGGATTTGCCTGGCATTCATTCTTTTCATCGGAATCAGAATCATCGCCGATCTGAAACACGACCTTTGCCCGAGGCTCTGTGAGTTCCTCTTCAGGGTATGGCACAGGGTCTGGGCTGACTTTCTCTAACCAGTTCTCCACATATTGGTGGATTTCAGTGGGTGAAGGACTGACAGTAGGTACTGAAAAACTCTCATTTACCACTAAAGACTTTTTAGATGATGGTAAGTTTTTTTCATTCATGGATTTTGCCTTGCTTATTGTCTTTCGGACTGGCACCAGTGCTTTCTTTGGTTGAAAAATGGCTGAGATGTTCTTTTTCATTTGAGGCCTCACAGTTGGAGTATCTACATTATGGCCATTAAATTTAGCAGCTGTTTTACTTATGTTTTGTCTCTTAGGTGGGGTCTTACTCACATTTTCATTGTCAAATAATGAAGCTTGCTCTTTCCCAGGCTTTGTTTCACCCTTACCCACTTTCTTAATTTGAGGCTTTTCTGTTCCTTTACTCTTTTGTCCACTTTTAGCACTTTCTGATGAACTCTGAGTATTTCTGACCACACTTGTATTGCTGCTCTGCTTGTCTGTAGATGAATGTTTGCTATCTTTTGGGGGGCTAACTATGCTTTCTTTTAGCTTTTTGTCCGAACCAATTGTTGACGTGGAACTCCTCGGATTCTGAGCAGTCTTTCTTGTCTTTTTCTTTGTCTCTCTTTTAGGAGTATTGCCTTTTTTTACTCTATCGTGTATTTGGGAGTTTGTTGCAGTCATCTCACGTCTTGAAGTTATTGGCTCTGAAGACAATGATAACATCTCCTCTTTCTGTCTTTGTTGTGAGTTAGAGGTGTGTGGCTGCCCGCTAAAATCAATATCACAACCATTGCTGGATGACGGTTTGCTTTCTGCCTCTGGAGGAGAGCCATGCAAAGGCCCACCGTCTGTGCTATATTCGTCATTTGCAAAATAGTTGTCGTAGCAGGGTTGACTCTCATAAATATGCATCACAGTCTCTGTAACCTCCATCCCGTTACTCTGTATCTGAAGCACCTCGGCTACTCCTGACGAACTGATGGAGGAGGGCGAGCCCTTGCTGCTTGCTTCTGAAGACTTTCTTTGCCTAGGTCTTGGAATTAGCCTGTTGCTGCTGCTGCTGCTGCTGTGTTTTAAAACGCAGTACTCCTCCGTCGTCTCACCATCAGCTGTCCTCTCTATGTAGGAATAATGTCCCATGGTGTTTTCCTGAACTCCCGATTCTGTCACCGTCTTTACACTCTCAAGAGACGCTCTCTTCGTAACGCGCAGAGGACCTGGTGTAAGAGTTCGTTTGAAACCAGTTCTTCTAAAAGCCGTGGAATTGTAGCCTTCACATCCTTGCTCATCATTAAAGCCAACTCCCTTTCCAATCTTAGAAGTATGGTTCTTCTCTTTTGATTCATCTTCACTGACGCTAGAGGACTCTTTGGCAACGATGTTGTTTGAGTCAGGTGAGCTGTTGCCCAGCTCAGATACCGAGGCACTAACTGTCCCATTCCTAAGGCTTGAGCGGCTGAGCGTTGTAGTCCAGTGGAGCATCTCCTCTTCTTTAATAGTCAGTCGAACTTTCATCTCCACTGTCATGCTGCCGTCTTGATTGACACAGAAAGACTTTTCAATGTCATCATCATGAGGTACAATGCCAGTATGAGAGTCATTATCAGCCATCCCATCTCCACATTTGTCCTTGGATGTGGGATGATGTTCGACCTCTGTTTCAAATGATCGGTTGTGCTGATTCAAGGGACCGTTTGTGCTTCCATTTATGGACTTGTTTATCTGGTTGACAATATATCTCTCTGATGATAGCGAAAAATTCCTTGAGCCTCTTCCACTCGAGAAAGATTTGTTGTTGACTTTGGTTGAAGGTGTTTGTGGAAAAAGGGGAGAGACAAAGAGACGTTTTGTTAATTTGTATAATAAAAACACCATAGCGTTTTCATATTGGTTTGTTAGTAATATTTTAGGAAAATTTTTACTTTTTAATTTACTTTTAAGGGGTAAATTATATCTGACATCAGTACAAATAAAACCAACATCTGTCGCAATTTACCACAATAAATAATATATGGTTTTTTTCTCAATTTGAACAACTATAGGACTATCTTAGTTAAAGGTTCCCTATTATTATTTAGCAGAATAGGTGACCTTTAAACAGCTTTGATTGGTTTATAAGATGAATGTACATGTTTTAAAGCATAAGAGTGGTGACTTGCAATTACTGTCTAAACGATCCCACCGTATAATAACCACAGGGAATTTTACATAAAGATTGTAATATGTCAATTGACTGATTACAACTCACCAGTTCCGGGCTGCAACGGTTCCACGGGATCAATGTACATTATTTGAGCCATCTGGCCAGCTCCTTGAGAACTGTAGTTTCCTAATCTGAAAGGCTCACTGCCTGCTGCTACAACAACTCCAGAGCACAGGATAAGTCCTGCAAGACCATCAATCTGAAAAAGGAACAGAAACACATTTTTAAATTGACTTATATATTGCACTCAGATAGAAACATATTGTTGGAAAACAAACAAAATAAAAAGACCATCAAAGACAACGAGGTATTTCTGGAGAAATAGGATGCTTTTAAAGGTTACTAAGACTCATGAGCTTAAGCAGGAAAAGGCTTCCTGTTAAAGGATACATCCTGGAAAAAGGGATTATGGAGTAATAACTCACTAGGAGGTAGATTCTGATAGCACCTTATAGGACTGCTTAGAATACTGTAATGTTTAAAGATGTTATAGTTTAAATTAAGAACATAATAAATAAGGCGGTTACATGTAAATTAACTGAGTATCACACACTACAGTAAGCTCAGTCAATCTGCTTATAGCTTGACAGACTAGACTATTCTATTTTAGTAACCCAGACATTTACATAATATAGTCTTAAATCCCCTTAAATAGAAAGTACATTCAAGGACAACAGCTGAGGTGCCATGGATTCTCATGGCAAGGTGCTAATTGAAAATAAAAACATAATAGTAGTGATGTAGCTAGCTGAAATCATAAAAAGTTATTGTGTTTTGATTTCAACTGGCAGAAAATGTGTTCACATTAGCAAACAATCTGGTTGAGGTTTCATTCATGAATTTCTACCAACCTCTTTTCCTCCTTTTCGGTTGAGGGAGGTCAACAATCCTTGCCACTTTGAGTAATCCAATCAAATCTCAAGGATTTATTTTAAATCTACTAACTAAACCTGGAGCCTTTGTTGTCGTTCACTCAGAATAACATCACATTACTGAAGCCAAAGGGGCTCCAACATCAGGCTTACTTGGACTTGATAAAAAAACATTTAGTTAAATACCAGTATGTGTTTTTTTTGCAGAGAGTAGGGTGAGAATATGAATATTAAAAAGCGATTTACACGACTGGGACATGAAACACTGCCTTTTGTGGATTATTAGGTTATTGAAGTCTCAGCCATGCATCACTTTTTTCTGTCCCCTGGAAACTAAAAAGTGTTTTTTTCTCAAATGTTTTTGTGTGTTGTTAAATTGGTGAACAGGTGAAATGTTTGCTTGTGTTTTCTTGATTTGCAATGCATTCAGCTCAGGGCCACCGTGCGAAACAGCTCTGACTGCCTCTGCCTCTGCCTCTGACTGAAGGTAACACAATCCTCCTCTAAACACCTCTAAACCTTACTGATTCCCCCATTGTGTCTTATTTTGTTAAAAAAAACATTGGAAAACTAACAATTTGTAGTACACTGAGTGGTGTGAATGACGTAGCTGGTCGCAGTAACTTTGTGGAGTCTAGTTGTTTGCCTGTTTATCCTAAACTAAGCTAACAGGCTGTTAGTTCCAGCTTCATGATGATTGGAAATATGACAAGTATCTATCTTCTCAGCTAACTCTTGTCAAGAAACCAATATTTAAGCAAATATTTACCAGTAAAAACGTAATACAGAACAGGTAAAGAAATACCAATAGCTCAAAAGAAGCTGTTTAATTATCATTGATGATCCACGATCACTTTCCCTTTTCAGCTTTCCATGTACTTACTCTTCTGCCATCCGTAGAGAAGAGTTTCAGCACTGGGAACAGCAGGCTCTGGGAGAGGTAGTCGAGTAAAGCATCGAATGTTGGTGCTGTTTTTCTCTGCAACACGATTGTGCGTTTAACATTGGGGTCCTTATTTTTGATGACCACAAGCCTCTTTGGTGTCCGAACTGTGACCCTCTTTGGGACAATGTTGGTGACAACATCATTTCTTCTTCTTAACGGAACAAGCCTGGATCCTTGTCGCCTTTTTCGCCCTGCGCTGGGGGGTCTGGTGGTATTCCATGGTACCTGCCGCCGGTTCACTTCTTCCAGGTTTATCGGCTTCACCCGTCTCTGGTCAGAACACACATACGATCCCCCGTCATGTAAGTCATCTAAAGTCTTAACCACAGTGGTCCCACGAGGTGTGGTGATGTTCCTCACTCCAAATGGCAGAGGCACTTTTTTTGACAGAGCATCCAGGAGGGCATCAAATGACTTGAAGGTGCGGGCATTGATGACCATGCGATGCCCACTGAACTTATAGTCACCGCTTTTGTAGAAACATACTCTTTTAGAAGCTGAGGGGTCAGAGATTGGCTGCAGGGGTCTAAAGGGTAATGTCTGCCCACTGCCGGAGGATCCTTCCTGGGCAGATGTCTCCTGGGCAGGAGGCTCCTCAACAGGTGTGGCGCTCATATTGAGTGGGGATGGCTAGTAATTAAGATAAAGGAGAAAACGAATTAGTTTGTGTGCTTTGTTCAATGCATGTACTATTATGCTATAGGTAGAGTAATGAGTTATAGAGTATTAGGAAGACTTTAGAGCTTGTCTACTCAGTAAAATGCAACCACTTGACTTAAAGGTCCCCTATTGTTTTTCATCAATATATTCAGGTGTTAAGGTGGGCGGGGGTTACCTTGGTTGGTTATTGGCTAATGGTTAGACAAGCCAAAACATCGTTATGACATCATAAAGTGGCCATAATCTGATCAGCTCATTTTCAGACAGGTTTTTATAGAAATGGATCAGGACAAAAAGAGAGGGGGTCTTTTTTCCTGAAACTTTCAGAATCTCTTTACACAGAGGGGACACATGCTTCTGTATAGAAGACAGGAAAAAATGGATTTTGCATAATAGGTGACCTTTAAAGATCGTCCAGTTTGTTACTCCATTTTCTTTCGGATTTTATTAAGCTAACGTTGTAAAAGGTCAGATTTCCATTTAAATTCAGCATTTTTAAAATAATCAATAAAGTAAATCAAAAATGTAGGTGCTTATAAAATTAGAACTAGGAAAAACCCCAAACCCCTCAGCTAGAAGTAAAATATTATGACTGTATGTTAAGATTCAGTCAATGAAGGGCTATCATCATCTCTGAATGGTAAACAGACAACACTGTTGTATTCAGCCTATATCTACTGTTTGTTTAGGAACAAAGTAAACTAGCTTATGCTAAATAATTGCTGTCATACTGAGTGGTGTTTAAATGACATTCATAGTATATACTATAGTAAACTAAATAATAATTGCACAATGATATTTAAAGCTGCCATGCATATATGACATGCAATTTTCTGTTACAATGCAATATTTGATTGTTTTGGTTATTGACATTATAGTTGTATAATATCATTAGTTCTAAACATTGCACTATAAAAAAGAACACCATTTGTACATTAAGAGATAACAGGGGTACTATGTTGTTTATCATATATTTTCATAACTCGCATTAATAAACAAAAAGAAAAAAAAATACTTAACATTGTATTAAATACTAAATAATGTTTCAATACAGGTCCTACATCAGTCATTTAAAAGTAATAATAACCCTTTGTTACTTTGAACCACACAAGAAGTAACTAGATACAAACAGATTTAGACGAAGGCCACACACAGGAAACATAGCAAGAAATCTGACCAAATACACCATGTAGATCTTTTTTTTTAAAACTAACTTGTAAACAAATATGTCAACAGAAATGTAACAGATAAGACTTACCGTGTTTTTCACATTTCACCTATATTATAGTCGATAAAACAACAGCAAAGTGAGCACCCGTAATTCCTCCGAGTGCTCGGTGAAAGCCTCTCAGCGGCGTTTGAGGGCTATTTTTGGACATGCAACATCATGACCAATTTGCCTAATCTTTGCTCACACTTTATCAGCATATCAAGAATAACAAATGAGGGAGTGATTGAACTTTTTTCAGTTTAACATTCAATCATAAATTCATGGTTATATTGTTAATATTGCATATTTTTCTCTTTTGTTATTTGCTCTAAAAGATAAAGTGAGACAGTATGGGTGAAAAGGATTAGTGAACAACAGATTAATTAAAGAGAAGAGTATGGAGACAGTGAAAGTTAATAAATGTATATGAACTTTTGAGATAAAATGAAGTATCTAAACAGAAACCACGGGTGGCTAGGCCTGTTTCTAGTTAGCAAGTGGCCTGCATAATCAGATTTGAAAAGTCTTGCGCTAATAGGGATTAGGTTAAAGAGTGTGCGCACTTACTGACAGCCCGAAGTAGAATAAGGGCTTAAGAAAGCACTTTTACCTCACAGCAGGTATTGGAAATCCACCATCAGACTTTTAAACAAATAAGGTATCAGTATTTGCACGTATGAAATACTCTGGTAAATCAGAATCAGAATACCTTTATTAGTGCCACAGAGGCGAAATGTACATTGTTACAGCAGAAAATAGCTAAAGACAGCTTAATGTTACATAACCATGCATAAAAAAGTATTAAAGATACAAAAATTATAATAAAAAAAGTTACACAATTAACAAAATACACATCCTGTAACAGTTCTGAGGATTTAGCATTTTAAATAAAATTGACCATCATTTTGAAGCTTTTTATCAAAACATTGAAGGTTAACACTTCAAACACTTTTATTCAGTGCCTAAGGATTTAATTGCATCATGTGGTGAGAGCTGTGTCGCTATACTAAAGTTACCAGACAGTGTCCCAATTACAAACTCTGACTGATTCAACAGCTGCTAATACCTCAACATGAAGAAGCTGGAGACTGGCTGTCGTGGTCATTGGAGGAAGGGCCTGTGGAGGTCAAATAGAGTCCAATATGAGGGGAAAGTGACACAACATTTTGTATTGTATGTATATAAGTGTGGATGAGCATCAAATCAAAGCACCGTCGATACTTTTATCAATGTGTTACCATTAGCTCTTATAACTGATCCAATATTATGTTAATATCAGGATAATATTTTACCTTTTTTTAGTCTTTCAGTAAAGGCTGAATGTATATTTTATTTAATGTTATGAGCAGCACCTTGCATTGTTTTGCTTAGTTCAATAAATCTAATTATTTGGAGTGATTGCTCAACCTTTAATCACTAGATGGTAATGTCACATGCTAATCTGGTTGGATTACTAGGACCCAAATTAGCAATTCAATCAGTGCCATCTAATTGTGTAGTGGCCTAGCTGCTGCTGCTCAAAGGTCACAGGCTTGACCTAAACAACAGCCAAGCCTTCATCAAAAGCTGTAGGTCCAACTAATGGCCGGTAGCAACACTACATCTTTCTCACTAGCTGTCAAGAACTCTATAACAACAACAACAAAGTACACTATCCAAACAAAACCCTATATCAGTGATTTATTCTGTTTTTGGCTGTTAACTGAATGTTATGATCTGGTTAACCAAAAGGTGATATTTTCCCTCTTTTTTTTTTTTTTTAGAGGACTTTTAAATTTAAACTTGTAATTATCAAGAAAAAAATCAAACATAAGAGGAATGTCTAGAAAAATAATTGTCAATGGCATGTAATGCAAACATTTCCCAAATTCGGATCAATAAAGTACTTCTTATCTTGTCTTATAATGTTATTCATCTCATCTTATCTGTTTTTAAATGTTTTAGCTGATTGGTGCATAAATTGTATTCATATCATTGCCAGAATGTAATTTTCCTTCTCTCCACGATGCTGGCTTCATGACATTCTGAAGGATTAATAAAGTATGTCTTCTTCTTCTTTTTCTTCTAAGCTTTGTCCTGCTGAGCGATGCTGTCTCCTGTTATATGTCGACATTTGTGTGTGTTTTAATGGAAAATGTAACATCAGGTCGAGGGACAAAAGTTGAAAATGTGTCTTTGCTAACACGTTTCAGCTCTATGTAGTGACAATTTAAGCTTTTCGCCTTAGTAACTACTAATGTGAAAACATGAGAAGACCCAGGTATTTTTTCTGCGAACTTAAAAAGGTTTCCAGCAAGTTAGTTCATTAATTGTTAACTTTAGCAAAAACACAAGTGGCACGTTGGCGCCATCTACCGCCGGGTAGCGATACTGCCGAAATGCAGGCTTTGCATTGGTAGCTCGCGGTAGCAGAAGGACAGATGTTTGAGGAGAATTTGAGGAAATATACCCAATAGGCGCTTTCACACTGCGGTACTTTTCCCACAAAGGTTCATGTGAACTTAGTTCATGAGAACTCTTTAGTTCTCATGAACTAAGTACAGATCGCGTTCACACTGGAAAAAGTCCCTGCGGGTGGATTAGGCAAATGAAGCCGCTGACGTCACTTGTTCTTCTTCTGCTTTGGGTTTACTGGCAGGCCGCAAACCACTTCACGGCGTATACTGCCGCCCAAAGTCCCCGGCCGGAAGTCCCCGGAGTTAGGGACTGGCTTCAGTAGAAGCTGCTGGGACTCCCAGCAGCTTCTACTGAAGCCTTCCGAGTAAATCGCCAGAACGCCGACACCTCCTCATCTCCACCGCTCCCATGTTTTATTTGTGTTGCCATAAGTTAGTCTCTCTGCGTTTCTGCCTTGGGCTAATGCTAATGCTAATAATGCTGATGCGAGGATAATAAAATGGCGGCTTCACAAAACTTTTTGGGAGTTTTACGCGGCGTGGTTTGCAATCCTTCCAGCCAATCAGAAATATAGCTCTTTTCTCACAAAAGAGCCGCTCGAAAGTCCCTGCTCTCTAGCAGGGACTTTCGAGCGGGTAAAAAGGTTCATATGAACTAATTTTAGTACCGGCTCGTTTTGGTGTGAACGCGATAAAAGAGTTCACATGAACTAAGTTCACATGAACCTTTGTGGGAAAAGTACCGCAGTGTGAAAGCGCCTAATGTGCGCCTATGAAGGTAGATATGGTGCAAAATGTGAGAGTGTGTAAAACCTGATGTGAGCACTTGCAGAAAAAAAATCTGAGCTTGTGTGCATACATTTACACTTGTATAAAATATCCACGTAACTGTGAACCAAATGTAAACTTGTATAAAATATCCACGTAACTGTGAACCAAATTTGAAGTCACAGAAGAAAAAAAAAGTTTTGTAGCTTGTAGAAAAAAAATGAACTTAGTGATGAAATGTTCACTTGCAGAAAAATACATATTTTTAAAATATATTTTCCATTACAACTGCAACTTTATTTATTACAACCTCTCAAATCAGTCATTACAACTTGACGAATCTGCTCTGTGGCAGTATAAATCGACGAATCTGCGGTCTTGACTTTTGCTACACTTCTTGCGATAAATGTGTCGCAAAAGTAATTTTCACCTGTAGATGAGGGGAGGGGGGTTGGAGCGAAGGGGGGTTGGAGCGAAGGGGCGGAGCTATCAGAACAACGAGGCTCGGGTCAGTCACACAGTCACAGCTATGGAGTCAGATTTGGGTCAATATTCTAGCGCGTAAAACAAGCTACTCACGAGCGGAAAATGTGCTTTTACACGCGCATAAAATGACCCTCGCGCGCAGATTAAACCCCCGCGAGCGGCTCTGCGCCCGCGAGCGGCTCTGCGCTCGCTCGCTCGCGAGACAGCCCTCTTGCTTGCTCGCGGGAGTGTCAGCCTCGCGGAGTCTGTCTACGCGCGCGTGAAAAGTTTCTGGCACTTTGGGGCGGAGTCACTGGACTTTGATTGACAGCTGCCAGGAAACCCGGGGTTGCCAGGTTTGATAAATGCCTGAACTGCCAAGAACCGAGCAGTGACGGCAGAAAAATCAGTTGGACGAGATTGAATGGTAAAGTTGTCCATAAAAAACTATTATATTCGTAAAGTGTACAGCTAATATATATATGATTCTGTTTTCTTCAAGGTTGTGTCTTCCTGGTCGAATGTACTTATTGTAAGTCGCTTTGGATACAAGCGTCAGCTAAATGCAATGTAATGTAATATACATTAATTTGATATAAAACAATATATTTTTCAGTGGGCTGTGTCCGTCGAAAACTGCTAGCTACTGTCTGCTGTACGCACCTAGATTTTGCTGCCGTCACTGCTCGGCTCTTGGTAGTTCAGGCATTTATCAAACCTGGCAACCCCGGGTTTCCTGGCAGCTGTCAATCAAAGTCCAGTGGCTCCGCCCCAAAGTGCCAGAAACTTTTCACGCGCGCGTAGACAGACTCCGCGAGGCTGACACTCCCGCGAGCAAGCAAGAGGGCTGTCTCTCTCGCGAGCGAGCGCAGAGCCGCTCGGGGGGGTTTAATCTGCGCGCGAGGGTCATTTTATGCGCGTGTAAAAGCACATTTTCCGCTCGTGAGTAGCTTGTTTTACGCGCGAGAATATTGACCCAAATATGACTCCATACACAGCCACAGTCAGTCACGTCGAACCGGATGACTGCGGGGCTAACGGTTCGTGTCGCTACCAGTCCGCTGACATGGCGCATCAATCAACGGTAAATGTTGCCCATTACTTGCCCAGTATTACTTTGAATATTATTATTGTGATTGAGGATTAAATCCGCTTTGAAGACCACCGTTTTATATCGTGCAGTTTAGCGGCAAAATAACGTCAGTCAGCCAGCTAACGCTAGCTTTGTTGAGTTTATGCTAGCTAAACAAGTAGTGGTTGTAGTCTACAGCAGTAATTAATATATTATAGCCTGCTGCTTTGGCACTAACGGTTGATAACCGTTTATGAAAATAAAACCAATTGAACTGTACTGAAATAATGACAAGTTGTATAATTGTCTTGGGCTCCCGCTGTGTTTTTAAAGCCTTTGTAAATTATACATGCTATTTTCTATTTAGAACGAAAACTTTAGAATCTTAAAATCCCTTAACGTTTGTATGCAAATGTGCTAAATTCAACTCTGGAATC